AGTTTTTCACCATCATGTTTCAGACTTAGCATTGTTTGGTAATCGTCCACTATTTCCTGTAGTAATAGTTACATTATTATTATGTTCAGTCTTTGCTAACATTTTTGTTCGTACTTCAGCATCTTTTTTCCACTGTTAGACCTTGCACAAAAATTCCCTGAACATATCCAGTCATTTCCTTTAGTGTAAATTGTTCCTATTCTCCATTGATGGTACCTGCATATGTGACAAAATCTTCATCCTCTTTTTTGGTTACATTCATGCACCTCCAACAAGTATGGAACAGAGAACAGTTGTCACTAAAAATTTTTCTCAGAAAATGTAGTGTTTTCAAGCCCTATTTCACCTGGTTTTCTTGGTAAAATATAATTGCAGTCCTTTTCGTACTCTATTTTAGCTATTTTTCTTAACAATAACCTGTTTTTTTTTATCATTGTACCAGCATTGCATTCCTAACTAAATATTTCTCTATGTCTGTGAAAATATATAGCATAAGTCAGTCCATCATCAAGATTGCATACGAATTCAGATATGGTGTCTTGCACTACATCTGGCATAAAAGATGTTGAAGAATTTTTCCGTCTTATTCTGAACTACATCCAATAACTCCTCTTACTGTTTTTGCAGTTCCAGCAACTGCTGTTGTTGTTGTTGAATCTCAACCATGGAAGTTAAAATTTTCTCCATATTAACAAGAATATTTTTTTTCTACACACAGGACAAAAATTTTTTTTTAAACCAATATGGTTAAAATTTTTGTTGTCACCCAAAGCAATAAGTATATTTCATTCTTGTTCACAAAGCAACAAGTATATTTCATACTTATTTACTCCAAATGGGTTTCTATTGTCTGAGTTTCAAATCCCTTGTCGTCACTACAAAACTAGTAGTGACGATAATCAATCGCAATGCTTCAAGTACTTTGATGTGAATATCCATATTGTTTGTATTATAGTCGGCTCCAAAATGACTACATGGCTCTGATACGACTGCCTGTTACACAAATGAGTTACACAAATCTAGTCACCCATTATTGTAAGTCCAGTTAAAATGCGGTGCTTGTTATACTGTGTTTGAGTTCAAGTTCCTCGTAGTCAACTATTATAATTTCATTCATAATGTTGCAATTTTTATCCTGCGCTTGTGTCTAAGTTCCTCATCGCCAACTATTATAACTTCCTATTAAGGGTTATTGTTATAATACACACTCGTACTTGGTATAACACAATTGGTCAATGTATTCGCTATATGTGATGCTTAGGCCATTACTGTAACACCAGTATAGTTAGTATGAAGACTGTCTCCAATATGACTACCAACAACCTCATAACATGGAACTCTTTATAGTATTGGACAAGTTCATAGAGTTACTAGTGGTGTACTCTTTACTCCACAACAGGCCTGACATCCACTTTGGTCCACTGCACTTTGATGATTTGTTCTCCTAGAACTTGAATTTTTGTTACAAATATTTTTTCCTGTCAATGTCATTGATCATGTTATTGAATGCATGATTAGGTGCTTTAAGGAACCAATGGTTTTAGGTCCCATTTATTTGAAATTACCATGGTTAGGTAGGAGTCAGTTGCTTGCTGATAAGGTTTCAGCTTGCATTACTTCATGTTATTCTACCATTAAGTTGCATACTCTCTTTCAGAGTAGTTCTGTATTTCCATCTTTTATTAAATATCAGTTGTCCTATTTTCAAAATATTTCTGTAGTATACAAATACAAATGTCAGTGCAGTGGTGTATACATAGGACGGACCAATCAAAGATTGGAAACTCATATTGTGCAACATGTTCCCACCTATTTAAGATTAGCAGCATGGCCTGGCGTTGCCCGTGCTTGATTCAAAAATCATACGACTCATACAGCAATCGCTATCACTTGACTTAAAATATTTTTGCCCTTCCTTGCCTTTAAAGGAGTGCCCTTTGCCGTGCTGATGTTGCTACATGCCTTACTTCACACTGCAAATTTTTTCTAAGCTCTATACTAAACATTAAATCTGTTATGAAAAAAGAACTAAACAAAATGAACACAAAATGATCAGCTTTAAAAAAGGATTCGTAACTGGAAAAACTGAATGAAAAAAGAATGTCAACAACAAATACTTTTTCACACCCAACCCAGTTCTGCGGAATCAGAATCAACATTGAGTTTAAGCAAGTGAATGAGCCAATTGGAGTAAAGTGCCATGCAGATTTAAATTTTTCCCGCTTGTGACGAATGCAGCTATCGATTTTTTTGCATGCTAATTAACATTCGTGTCAGTCAGCTGTTGGCTCTCACGCTGGCCAATAGAATCTTCTTGCCTATTCATGGCAGCCAGCTATAGGCGATCACTCTGGCCAGTAGAAAATGACTGCAAACTACATGAAAACTGCTGTAGAAGCATGAAAAAATCGATTATTTCCACTATCGATGGGAGTTGGAAAATGTAACGTCAGTCTTGGCCTTCCCACTAACTTGGAGCATTTGCATGTAAATTTTGGTTCAAATCCTGCAAAAATTGCGGCCGTGCATTCGTTACACACACACACACACCCTGCCTTTTGTAGATAGAGATCTAGTAGTCGGAGTCTTTCGTCAAGAACCATTCAGTCCATGCATGATTCATCTACTAGACAGTATTTGTTAAACAACCTGCATTGTGCCACCAAGTACAATGACACATTCTTTTTTGTGATACATAGATTTCACTCTACCCACCACCTATGAGTTCTTGAAGCTGTATATATTACAAATATATATTATATCAGTTGAGACTATGTAGACAGAAAGAACATTTTATCCATTCCTTGTGTTTGCTTGGAAGACTATAAGTAAGCTTTTTCTATCTTATAATCTTTTGGAACCCTTTAATATCTGTTTCTAATCGTTAATTATTTACAAGTATGATTTGTTTTAATCGTGTTCCAAATTCTCTTCCTCACTTGCTATTCTTTTGTGAATTGTCTCTTTAATTACGCCAACGTCCACCTTTGAAAAAGTGTTGGCTGAAAAGGAATCCTTAAGAAAAATAGGTATATAAAATGACGTCATCTTTTTTTATTCATTTATATATATATATATATATATATATATATATATATATATTGCTTTAAAATATGTCTTTTTTCGCTACACAGTTCTAACCATGTTTCAAAAATGGAAGCTAAAAGCCCTGAATTTAATTTTGTAATTAAATTAAAGACATTAGTTCCATTTCATCCTCAAGCGAATTTTGGAGTAACTTTTAAAATTACTGGGTTTTAAATACACAGCTAAAACAAAAACACATACACAGTCAATATGTGTTCCAATTTACTCAAGATTAAACATACAAGTAACACAGCTGCACACTAAATGATCATATATACTGATTAATACATACACAAGTTTCAAAACAAGAGGTGTATCAACAGTTCTCAGGCAGCATATCAACACTGTGCCATCATCCCAGACCTGTACACTCATAGTCATAAGCTTAAAATAGATAGCAAATACCACCATGTTAGTCAACTGTCAGAACAGTTTGCACACTATTCTCAACACCCAAGATACTCATTCAACATTCCCTTTATATATACCAAGGCTACAGGGAATTGTAACTCCACACTATAATACTATGGGTTGGACCTGGATGCTATAACCAAATGCACTCACACATGCAAATGACTATCACTTGCATAAAGGCACTGAACACTACAGAGTAACATTCAATCTCTCAGTTGATGCTTTTGCAATACAACTAGAGACATGAACAATGATATTGTGGTATAATTAAGTTTGCCTAGAAGCACATGTGCCTGTAGTCCAATTACAAGTAAAAAATTTCCAACTACTCACATTGATACTCCTAGGGTCATTTACACTGATCTGTGTGTAGATATTTTGTGGTCTGCGACTGATGCCCTTGTTGATTTTGGTTAACATCTATACTAACATGGCTGTCCAGGATCTGTGCTATAACTGTAGGAATGGTCATTTAACCACAGTTGCCAACATCAAAGCACCACCATATGTCCAACATGCACAGTAATTCTCCAAAATGACCATCCAGTCAATTGAATGAACACAATCTGATTCCTCTCAAACAGTACTAACTGATCAAAAAAAGCATGTCTCCATAGCATGACATCTACTTGCAATGGATTCTTTCACAATATTGAACATATAGTATGTATTACTCTATGTATTACATACACACAGTATTATTCTCTAAAACTCAGATACAGAGAGCATATTGGTACAAGTGTTAGTCTGCTACAAGATGATCAAAGATGTTGAAAATTTTATCAGAATTTCTACTTGCCTAATGGAAAATACATACTGTACAAAGATCAAATTAGCTTCATTTTTCAGGGTGTTACAATTTTTCTGTCAGTGGATAAGATAGAGAAATCATCTTTATTCATGTACAGAATGTGAAAGTTTTCCTCTGAAATTTAAAAAGCTGAGGATTAGCATTATATGCTAGATAAATATTTTTAGGAATATTTTCTGACTTTGCATCAGCAGCAGACTTTGTATGAATATTAACATTGCACATGATGTGTGATATTCAAAGATTTCTAGATAATTGAATTAAACATGAGAAATAAATTAATGGCTAAAAACAAATGGAAGTGCTTAATCATCTTGTTTGATTTTATTTTGATCCTTTAATCCAGGTTCTCTTTATTATAATTTTTGTATAGTTTATCTTAACACAGACCGAAGTCACCTTGATTATGACTTATCAATTAACTTGTTTTTTATGGCTTATCAACCTTTTGCATGTTATTTAAAACCAGAAAATATTTTTAGATTGTAAGAATTTTTTTGAGTTTCTAATGATTTAATGATACAAAGTCTTATTAATTAACCCATAGCTGGAAGAGAAGAGGTAAATTCATACCTTTCCCAAAGATATTTGAGCATAAGTGAATACAACAAACCCATCTGGAGTTTGAACTCGGCTCACTGAGTTCCAATTCCAAACCGTTATACATTACAACAAGCACACATCCAAGCTTACAGCATCTGGTATTCCCAAGTGGTCACCCATCTAGATACTGACCAGGCTCGATGTTGCTTAACTTCATTGATCATATGAGAACCAGCGTTTCAACATGATATGGCTGTAAGCCTGATAGTCATTTTTGGTTATCATAATGGTTCCTGTTTATATTTATATCATGATATCAAATATTTTATCATCAGGTGAAAGAATTATTTTACACTTTTATAAATTGCTTTGTTTGTTTCTTTTACTTTTGATATATTATACTTATAATCACTTTCTGCAACTTTTGGGACTGAAACTCATTGAGATTCATTTATTTCTACCATTACTAAAGATGCTAGAAGAATGGTCATGGTACTTGATCCAGAAAGTACCTAACTCCAACTGCCATGCTCTATCTTTACAAGTGTCAGATCAGACCAAAAATGGAGTAGTGCTGTCCAGTCCTCAAAAATGATTGTGCAGCCTTGTGGGTGAGAAATTATTTATCATCCTGCAACTCCTTTCACTCAGTCAAATCATTACTAGTCTCTCACTATTTATAGGGGATATGTTTATACAAGCAACAATGCTTAATTCTATCAATTCAGGCCTTTATAGCAAGAACCCATCATGTCACATAGACAGCATCAAATAATTCACATTCTCTTCATATTCCTTTGGTAAGGAGGAAATGTGACTAAGACAGCTTCTTCCCAACAACTATCACTTTGTAGAACAGACTCTCAAAAGAATGCTTCCTTTACCACTACCATCTTAACCTCTTCAAGTTGTGTCAACTTTTTTCCTCTCTTTACACCCTTACAACTATCTCAATCAGTGACCCCTCTACCTTGGGTGGCTCTTGGTGAACAAGTATAAAAAAATACTTACCTTAATTTTCCCATATTTAGTCTCATTTGTTCTGATTTTCAGTGAACCTGATTTTCAATGTAATTCTATATAATTATTTGCAATGCTTCCTCTAGTGAAATTATTTATACTTTACTATGGTTAAATTTTTAGTAATAACTTTCCATTATACAGGTAATAGCTCTATTCAACCAGTAAAACTAACCTAAATTCCTGATCACTGATAATTTATTTTTCCTAATTTTCAATGCACAAAATATAGGATTTCAGAATTTGCCCCCCAAAATTAAGCAGATGCCATCATTTCTTCTGTAGACTTAGCACTCATATTATAACGTTGATCATTTAATACTTATACAGGGGGTTCAGGCCAAATTTGAGAAAATCTAATCCTTTTATTTTTTCAGATTGATTTGGAATATCTGTAAACAATGAACAGCATTGTGGCACCTCGTCACTACAGTTTTAGAAGTGTCAAAGTTAAATCAAATGGACAAGTGGAAGCCACCTGAATATTGGAAAATGGTAACCTGCATCATGATTTGTGCTGGGCATCAAAATGTTGCAATTATGATAGCCGCTCAATGAAACAATAAGACATGAAATGAAGAGCTGTAATGAAGATTTTAAGGCCATGGCTTGTAGGAAAGAACACAGATGTTCTGATTGTCTCCATACACCAAAATTCATTAAACAACTGTAGGAGAAAGTGATGAAAGTCCAGTACAAGGGAACATGGGAAATGGGTATTGCAATTTCCACCTCGAAGCTGGCCTTGAAAGAGGAGCTTGGCTACCAGTTATACAAGAGGTATAAAGGTAAACTTCTTACAGAAAAGACTCAAGAAAACCATCTAACAAAGTCAAAAAAAATCCTGAACAAGGTGAAACATCCTGTTGAACAAGAGATAATCTGGTTCTTTGATGAAAATAATTCTTGTCAGGACCAACTGCACAACATCCAGAACAACAGCTGGCTTGCCTACAATTCATATCACATTCCTCATGTCATGAAGACCAAGTTTCCTCAAACTGGTTTTTGGGTGTGTCTCCAGCGAGGGTGATATAATGCCACCTCACATCTTTGAACATGGTCTCAGGCTCAATTCAGATGGCTATGTGGAGTTGCTGAACACAGTGGTCAAACCTTGGAAGACCAAATGTATGGCAGCAAGATTCAGCTCCCTGCCACACCTCCAGGAAGTGTTAGAAGTGGTTGTCAGATAGTTTTTTATGACTTAACCAGCGCCAACATCTGGCCCTCTAACTCCCCTGATCGCAATCCCATGGATTATGTGCAGGGTGCAGTTGAGAAAGACATCAACCACACTGCTTGTAACATCAAGACCCAGCTGATTGACAGGCTTAAGGAGGCATTTAAGGTTCTCCCTAGAAACACAGTGAAGGCCTCATGTGCCAGATTCCAAAGATGGCGTCTTTGAGTAATTGTCTTTTGATTATAACCTGCATGCTACTTTTATATTTTTCCTAATAAATTGATTTTTGGCTTAGATATTCACTTTGTTTTCCCTTAAAAATAACTGTCAAATTTAGCCAGAACACCCTGAAAATGTTCTGCTAGAAAACACAAAAGAAATTTTAATTCAGAAGTATGCTTGGAGAGAGTAAAGGGTACATTCTTGACTTCCTCTTCTCCTCACAGAAGAATTTGTAATAGCTCTCTTTTTAGGGTGAGTTGGTTTCGATATAAGAAGGTTACTTTAAAACCTATGGATAAATGAATATGATTGTATTTAAAAGATTTAACCACTGAATTTTGCAATTTTTACCTAAAATTTGAGTCAATTTTGACAGTTTGGGAAGAGAAAACCAACAACAAAAGGAATATCAGTAGGAAGTAATGCAAGTATAACAGAAAGAACTATTTTATGTATAACTATATGATAATTTATTAGCGTTTATGTTGGGTTATGTTAGAGTATTTGTTTTGAAATATTTAGATGAATTCTTTTAGGACTATTATTTGATTATCAGTTTTGATCCATCTACTCTTCAGGAAACTTGTCTGTAAAATTTTACAATCAATCTTATTGTGTTCTTGACCTTGCATCTTGGCTTCAGTCACTTTCCCACCACCAAAATGTAGCTTCCCTGTGCTTTCTCGGTAAATAAAAAGGTGTTCTAATAACTTGGACCAATTTTAAATGTGAATTAAGTTTAAGCGTCTAATGATTTTTTTCTTTTTCTTTCAGATTTAACAACTTAAGTCTTTGGCAATTTCAACCATTAAAAGATTAACAATCAAACAACGTGTTAAAGTTATCAAAACCTATTATGAAAATGGACATTCAAACAGAAATGCATTTTGCGCATTTTGTGATTTTTTTGATCAACCAACCGAGAGTGCTATTGGAAATGATGTAACATTGTTGTGGAGAGGTTCAATTCCTGTGTGTGATGACAACATTCTCATGGACTGCAGCAAGGTTTTCAGCTGAATGGTGTAAACGAGCACACAATGGTGTTTTCATATCTGCCACTGACCCAGTTTGTTTGAATTTACGAACACTTTTTCCAATTGCACTCTTGAAACTTTAACACATTGTTTGATTGTTTTTAGTGACAACATGTATATAAGCATACAGATCTTAATCAGTCATGATTTCTATCATCACCAAAAATTTTTTTCATATTTCTTTTTATAAAAAAGAACAGATACTACACTTTAGTTTTAATTAGAATGACGAACATTACTAACACACCTCTATCTGGTAGCTCACTCTGTGAAAAGTTATCTGATCAATAGTCTCAAATGTTGTTAACTCAGCTCTGAAATTTAAAAATGATTATCTTCTAATGAATGAACCAAAAGAGAAACATTGAATTGTTAAAATTCAGAAAATTAAGACAACTGTGAGACAAACATTAGTAAATAATTTGTCTTAATTATCTTAAGTTGTCTGAATTTCTGAGAAGAAGAATTGTCATCATACTTATTATAAAACCCAGGTTGTGTGTGTGTGTGTGTGTGTGTGTGTGTGTGTGTGTTTCTGTACGTTTATATATTGGATCAGATTTCCTACATTTTTCAACTGATTTCAACAAAACTTCACAGGACTACGTAAAATTACCTTGTGGTTGTTCTGACAGTGCCAAAAATTGGAAAAACAATTGTTTTTGCACGAAATCAATTTGAAAACACGATTAAGAGGTATCACTGTCACGAGAATGAAAGGGGGACAACTCATATCGAGTTATACTTATTATAAAGCCCAGGTTGTTTGTGTGTGTGTGTGTGTGTGTTCATTTATATATGGGATTGGATTTCCTACATTTTTCAACCGATTTCAACAAAACTTCACTTTTTTTTGGCAGGTAGTGTTTCTTATTGTCTTGCACACTTTTTTTCTTTTTTTTACATTCAGAATGCTTTAAAAATTCCATTTACAAGGCAATTGTTTATAATAAAATTCTATTCAATCAGTAGACTCATAATGATTGAAAACAATGTTTTTTTTTGAGTTTGTGTTTGACCAATTCGTAAAAAACAAAAAAAAAAAATCTAATTAAGACATGCGTGTCCGTCAACCTTAAACAATAATTTTTGTCAATTTTATTTTTCAGTCTTTATGATGGTTGGTACTTGATCTATCTGTTACGGTTACATCCCCGGGCAACGCTGGGCTCTACTGCTAGTTATTATTAATTTTTAACTAGTTTTTCTTTCATCTTATTTTTGCTGCTTTTTATTGTAATGTTCAGGTTGTTTTAACATCCTGAAACTGTTAAATAAGCAACCAGAAAGGAAATAAAAATAAACTTCTGACAAGGATAAAAGACGCAGGTTCAAATCTCATTGAAAACTTCTTTATTTCTAATTCTTGCTGCTTACTTGATAGTCATAGATTGTAAGAAAAACGTGAGCTTTGCAATAAAAAGCAACAAAAACAAGACGAAAATAAAACTTGTAAAGAATTAATAACAAATGATTTTTCCTACTGAGGCACTTACAGCTAACAACCAATATTTGTTGATGGAATAGTCATAAAAAACTATAAACACCTTGGAAATTTTTAAGAAAATCTTTTGTTCCACTGTATTTTTAACATCATTAAAGGTTTTATAACAGCAGGGTGGTTCATATCTGCATTTTAAATAAAAGTATAAAATAAAGTAAAATGTAGCATCATCATTGGTACAGAAAAGAAAGTTATCAAACTGAGTTTAATTTTCATCCAAGGTTCTTTGTGTTTACTTCACACTAAGATCCTTATACTATCTTCACCAGATAGCTTAATGAAAATCTCTC